CGCTAGCAGCCTCGCACCGAGGACCTATCCACGTCATCATTTACCCAGAATGCTTTGTGTGTAAATAAAATGGCTCCGTCCGCGTTAAAATATATTTTAAAAAATTATAAAAACTAAACAGTCTACAGTATTTTTACAGTCTTTATTTTACAGTTAAAATTAATGTTTATCAAACAAAGTCTAATGTTATAACTAATCATGGATCCCTTTAATGTACTTTAACTTCTTTTTACTGGGGATTAGCATCCAAGGTGGGGACAAAGTGGGCAGAGGCATGTATGGTGTGGGCGGAGATGAGAAACAAAATAATGTGAATAGGCAAGAATAGTTTTGTGAGCTGCGTACTAAAAAAAACAGGCCTTGAATTTAAAAATCTGGTGGCGCTAAACAACTTGGTGATGCAGTACACCAAGTGAAACTGAAACAAAAAAAATGCACTTTTTGCAACTAGTCTCTAAAGTCAGAACAGCAGTGAGATCCTGGCTTCATGTAGCTGTTAGAAAGACTCAGTAACACATCATTTGGACTTGTTTTCACCAAGTTGTCCCTAAGAATCAGAATTCGTCATTTAGCTGACCTGCAGAAGTTGACGTTGTCCATAAGCAGCCAGTCCCCAGCCTGAAGGGCTTGGACCAACATGCTGTCCAACCACTCAAAGCCTCCTTTAGTCAAACCATCTTGTTGTTGAGTCAGACGCTTCTTCAGCAGAGTGAAGTCCATCAGCAGCTTCGACATGTCTGAACAAACACCCAACGTGTCACAAAGAAACCACTGCTGCAGTAAAGCACTGTAAACAGTTTTTGGGGTGATTACCTGTGAATACTCTGAGTTTGGTGTTGAGTTTCTGCAGCAGGAGGATAATGACCTGCAGTCGGTCCAGTGCCTCTGAGTTGATCGTCACCCCGGTTTTCTGCAGTCCGTTCTTTCTCACCCACTGGGAGAACTCACCCCACGTCTGCAGCAGGAACTCAGTGTCCTGGACACCAGCTTCAAAGGACATCAGTCCACTCCTTGTTACTGTGGCCACAGTGTAGTCCACGCTGTCTAACACCTGCTGCCATGGTCGCATGATGTCCAGCTGCAGCGACGACAAGAAGACAGTAGGAATGAGCGATATAAAGAATATACGGTAGAAACTATATAAATTTGTCCTATGATAGAGATCTGTAGTCTACCGGCCAACCGCGCAATACTTTTTGATGATGTAACCGGCTGGAGTCAAAACAGAGGAAGCGGGAAGCAGCATGGCTGACAGCGCAAATGAAGAGGGGAAAGAAACAAAACAAAACTTATCCGGACCTGGTTCGGGTGTGCGAAAATGAACGCCAAACTGTTTACATGTTTACGTGACGGCGCGCCTGCAGCGGGAGGAGCGTGCACCGTGTCACARGGTGACGCAGCGAGGCGACTGTCAGTGCAGGTGAAGTCAGCGCTCAGGTGGGAAGCACAAAAGCTCGTTGAGTCTGGACCTCGTTTCTCCTGCAGTCATAGCGCGATACTATCTCCTTGTACAGCGGAGAAGCGCTGTGGGAAAAGGCTGACAGTCAAACTGTCTTTCAAAAAAAAAAAAAAAGCATAAATGAGATGATTGTCACCCCGCCGGAGCGCTCACAGATTAAACACGTGGAGTACAGAAAAAGTAATCTGTGTAGGGGTCAACTCGAGTGAAGAAACAAGATTTACTGCCTCGAAGCAGGCCTCGGACAGGCCTGACGATAGGACAGGAACTCTGTCACAAACTGAACTCTATTTAGGCCATAACAGGTCATTCCAACCGTGGAAGAGAACCCCTCAGTTCTCTTAATCAGATAATGGACAGAACAATCTCTTCTGTTCGTGATTCATTTGTTGTTTAACTAAGAATGTTTATGCATTTGTTAAATCATGATAATGACTGTCACAAGAAAAGTGGAACCACTTCTTTTCTTTTATCGTGCCTTAAAGAGTAATAATGGTATAAAAGATCACAGAGAATCTCATTACAATATTTTCATTGTGTTTTTATGTAAATCAGTTTTTATTTTTTACTGTGAACACAGTAATATAATTGTGTATTTTTCCTGAGAAAATCTTTCATTTATCTGGACTAACAGACGTTTCAGAACTGATAAGACAGAAATGTTAATTAATCATCATAAATGTTTTGCAGTGATTTCTCTTAAAGTCTATCAGAAGAAAGCTGAAGAAAGGTTATCATCCTGTTGTGAACAGCCATTGAATTTTAACCTTGAGCTGGCGCCGCTGGCAAATCTTTCATCTTTCTTTCTCTGACTCATCTCTAAGCTGAGGGCGGAACCAAAGTTCGTCCGTTTCTTTTACTAACCCGGACGTCTTTGAGTGACACACTCTTCTTCCTGACTCCAACCTAGGAAGAAAGCTGGGTTTTCTCTCCGAAGGAACTCAGTTTGGCTTTTAAGTCTTAGCCCATGAGCCAACTAGGGAAGACTTGACAGCCGGGACTCGGCACACCAGCCGGTCTCACCCCGAGGCTTCAAGCCTCTAAGTGTGTTTTTACCTCCCGTGGGGAGATTTTATTTTGAAAAGAAGGAACCGGATGTACAGCTTGAATTTTTCTGGCTTGGACTGAAACAGGCGAAAAGTTACCTGAAAAACACCTACTCGCAAATGACCGGTAAGCGAGCCGATAATCAGTTCCCTGACTGATCGGAGGCGAGCCAGCTCCTACCAAGCGGGTACCACTATCAGGTAAAGCTGACGTGTTCGGGGTGATGTGTCATGTGGAAACTAAGCACAGAAAAGACGTGCTGATCCGGTTGAACCACACTTTGATAAAGTAAAAATAGTAGTAACCTACTAACCTTACTTTCCTCCTTTTTTTGTCTTTATTTGCCAAAACTTAAGCTGAAAGTGCCAGTAAAATTGTTTGGTTGTTAACATCAGAACTGACGTTTTACTGTTCTATATAAGTAATCTGAGTTGACGTGAATTGAAATTCGGACGCAGATTTTCATCTCATTTAACTTTGACACTTTTTATAGGAATACCCACAATCAAGTGTACTTATGATTTGTTCAATTTGTGTAAATAAATGATTGCATAGTCTTTTATGAATCAACTTGAACTCGTCTGAACGTTCACTTATTGTGTCACTTTTCACTTCGCACAGTCAAGATATTAAAAGTAATGAGAAATACCTTGGTAAAAGTTTCCTCATAACCTTGTGTATGAGAGATGTAGGAGAAGCTTAATGCCACCTTAAGCCCCCCTCCTACATCTGTAAAGTGTGCAGAAAGGAATAAATCCAAACAATTTGTTTTACCACCTTAAAACGAAGCAGGTTATTCCYAACACAACATCCAATGGATGCAGATATCTATTACATTAAAGTTATTGTGTGTGTTTTTATATATATATATTTTACCAGGTAGGTCTCCCTTAAACTTATATTTTTATGGGAGACTTAAAAAGTCCCTTAAAAATGAGATTTTAAGATAAAAAATATTTTMACCTATACATACTTATTCCACTCATTTAATGTGCGATTTATTTATTTTCTATTATAAGTATTATATCGTGATATATACCATTTCCGCCACCCATTATAATGTATATCGTGATATGAATTTTTTGCCATATCGTACATTCCTAGAAGACAGCATAACAACGTGTTGCGTCGTATAAAAAATTAAATAAATAAAACTGAACCTGCTGGTTACCTGCTCAAAGCCTCCCAGGAGCTCCATGGTGTCCATGGCGCTGTTCATGCCCATGACCCTGAGCCGATGTCCTGTCAGCAGGGCCAGCAGCCTCACCAGACTGGTCTTCCCACTAGCTGTGGGACCAACCAGTATGGTCATCCAGCCCATCTCCACACACTTCATCAGGGACTCCAGAGGCTGCAAGCACTGGTGTGTTATGGACAGTGTGGGGTCCAGGGCCACTGGGGCTTCACTGCTGCGATCCAGCACAGAGAAGCCCACCTATCAGGACACAAAGAGTTCCTCAGCTTTGTGCTTGTGAAGAGGAGGAAACACAAGTGTTTGTAATGTTTGACAAACCTGCACGTTGAGGGGAGTGATCTGGAAATGTCTGGAGCCACAGTAAGGCTCAAAGAGATCCCCGAACACCTCTCTGAACACAAGCAGCACCTGTGTGGGACATTTACAGACTGATTCTGGGGCTTTAATGTCACACTGAGAAAACATGCAACAACATGTTTGTTTTCTTATCCTAAATTTCTCTTACTTTTGTTCGTACAAAGGGTTCGTACGAACACGTCACGTCAGATTCAACAAACTCTTCTGTCTTCAGGAAAAGTGTGTAAATGAGGAGCYTAAACTGATGAATGTGTATCAGCTGCTCATAAACAAGGAGAGGTGATTTACATAATTACCACCCCAAAAACACCATATAAGGATATATGTTTCCTGTCCCACATACCAGGAAGTGTCCATTCATAAATGACATTGCAAAGTAAAAAAGAAGAACTTTACGAGTTCAGAGATWGAAGTTCTGCTCTCAGAGATCCAGAAAAAAAAGTCATTTTTAGCAGCGTCAGCTGTGGAATTAAAGGATCTGCTTTAAACTCAAGGAATGAAATGACTGCTGTTAATGTCGTGTCTCCTGTGGGTCGAACAGTCACAGAAATAAAAATCTAATTCATATTTATCTCTCTCTGTAGTCCTGCTCTGGTTTTTCTTTGGTCAAATATTTTTAATTAAAGTGTAAACAACTGTGTTACAGGTTTCACTTATTCAGCAGTGGCTAAACTATTCTTACAAGTAGACTGAAACATTTAAAGGACACACTCACACCTTTTCTGAAGTTTGTCTCAATTCAACACATTTTTGTGCACTCTCTTTGGAACTTCACACCCCGCCCCCCTCCAGGTCCAACTACCAATCAATGGTCCACTTCACCATGTTCAGACATTTTTGTTGTTCAARAGCAGAGTTGCCAGCAGAGAATAAACTTTTTTTCTTTTGTGCCAATTAATCAAAAGGTTAATTAACACAATCAACACCAAACAACCACTAAATAGATTCTGTTGAAACTCACAAATTTAATGGTACGTAATACTGGCCTCTAAATTTTATGAACATTTTATTGAACCATAATGGGCTAACTTGAGGAAACAGGTACCTTAGTCTTGTCAGCCTCAGTTCTCATTCTGTCAGCGTACACCAAGGCTACATGCTGGCCTGGGTTCAAAAATGCTTTCGACTGGTCGTTCAACATCAGCTCACACCAGCGGAACAAGTCCCGCAGGTTAAACTCCCAGGGGCTGCCTTTCTGACCCCACCGCCTCTCTCCACACACCTCCTGAACAAGCTGAGAAAAAAAAAATAAATACTGTATTTCAAAGCAGAAACAAACATGTAGCACTGCATCACAGTTGTACACAAAAAATACCAGGAGTATTTTGTTTTTTTCAGTGGAGGAGCTGTAATTCATGTGGAACTTACTCTGTTACTGAACGCCACCATTTTTCTAACAATTTCCTTGTCAATGCTGGGGAAAAGTGAATCTATGATGAACTCCATGTCTTTGCTGGTCAGCTGGTCCACAAAAACCTAGAAATGAAAGATTTAATTTTAATAAAAGGACAAATGCAACTAAAATGATATTTATTCATGAAATAATATGCTTCTGTTGTTTTCATTCGGAGACAGGGAAGACAACTGCAGCTAAAGTAAAAAAAAGGAAGTTATGCAAGTCCTCTGGATGGGTTCATCTTTAATGAAACGGTTCTAAATGGCAGCTTAAAACACTTACTGTGCAAACACAATTATAGGATGTGAATTCATCACAATCTCCTAAATCCTGCAAACTGTGCTTCCTATTTCAGCTACAGTATATTACAACTCATTGGTCTTATTAAGGTAGTGACATACTGRATGTCAAAAGTCACATGAACTTTTCTAACCTGAGTAAATCTGTTGAGGAAAGATTTGGGCAATCCTTTACGCCCACCACCTTGAGTGAATGGATTCTGACAGCCAAAGATCTTGGTTTTCTCGTGCTGAACATGGAAACTCATGCCCAGTTCAGGAATGTAGATCTCAGCTCTGTGATCGAAGCAGGCATTCAGACCCTCTAAGACGGACTGAGAGGCCAGGTTCAGCTGTAGACACAAGTAGAACAGTTCTTTAGTTCATAATCAAACATGGTCATGCCACAGATATGAGTGATTGATGATGCCTTTATTGTCACTGTACAGAGCACAATGGAATTACATTTAAGAACACCCATTTCAAGAAGACACACATGACAAACATGGGGGAACAGGTGATCAGGTCATGCAGCAACCAGCAGGGGTCGTGCTGCCTTTAAAAAGAAAAACTAAAAACCACACAAGGATAGATGAGGAAAAAAACTAAACCATATTATATCAACAAAATATGACACACTTTGGTGTTTACAGATAAAAAAAACTCTGCAGAGCAAGAATTTATTAGCCAGAGGAGTAATGAGTTTAGAGGGCGTGTATCTGAAGCCATGAATGTTGTATGCACTTGTGTGAATATCTGAAGAATATGTCCGAAGAATCTAGTCCCCAAAAGATAAACCCATAGTTCYGCCAAAGTTCAGAATARTGGTGCTAATTGTTCATTCTGTGCAGCTCCAGATTGACCTTCAGGGGATCAGATTACACGGGAGTGAGAGGGGAGAGGGTGGTGACCAAGCCAAGTCGACATAAACACCAGGAGAAATTAGATCCACAGCTCTTCAAGGCCATGTGGGGGAGAGCCAATTCGTAATCAGTTGTTTGGGAACAGAAAAAAATGTTTTCGGTCAGGCAGACAATAATAATTTACAACTGCCTTAAGGCCACTGRATACTCCCTCCGAAGCCGAACAGTCGATGCGCAGTCACTTGGTTTTTCGGCCTTCATTTTCACACACACCTTTCATTGTCCCTGAGCCATCCTATGCTGAGCTCCTGGGGAAACCCCTCCCACCGCAACATGTGTCACTACAGGGGGGTTCCTCCCGCTGGAGTCCACAACGCAGAAAAAAAAGTCAAAGACTGTCACCCAAAGTTATTTACTCACAAATCTGTTGCGGTTAAAGCTCCAAAGTTTTTATCAGTTAGATTCCACCGTGCAAAATGCTTGTTTTATCTCCAGCCACGTGTTTTTGGTTGTTTGACTCTCTCTATAAATCGCTGCTTCCTGGTACAATAGTCAGCTCATGAAGCGAGTTGCTTTTTTTTTGTTTTTGTTTTGCTTTTTGAAGCGAGCGGTTACAACAAAATACAGCATCTGAGCTCTTTCAGCACATACCCTCCCACGAGCTTCTAACCAATCACACAATAAGTTCTTATGTGGAGGGAGTAAAAACTTTGACCAGCAGGTTGTGTCGAGAAGCTGCCAAATGTCAGCAATGCGAACAGAATGACACAATTTTTGTCATGAAACTGCAACAATCCGACCCCATTTCGGCAGTTCYMAGGGAGTATGCAGGAAACTTTAATGTCCGATGGTACATCCAAGGTGGCGACTCCAATCAGACAAATAATGTGGACAATTCCACCGAGRTGAGCTCTCAGCTTCTCCAAGATCAATTCCATCTGGCCAGCAAAGTCCAGGAACCACAGCCAGCCCGTGACCCTCAGCAGAACCGCTTGCAGACCGAGTTCCAGCTCGCACAGGGTGTGAGTCTGAGTGCTGATAGAACGGCAATCCTTCATATTGGTCAGGCAGCCAGGGAATGGCCCGAATAGGCACCGATGCTGTTTTGCAAAACACCAGGAGACCACCAAAGCCAATCTGTAGAATCCAGTCATCAGAATCCAATATATGCTTGTTGAACAGAGCAGAACAGAGGTCCCACCTTTGACATGTCCTCCCATGGAAGAAAATTTGTTCCAAAAAATTATTAAGAGACCAGCTAACCAAATCCATAAAAATAAATCCATAATATTTGGTTTTGGATGAAAATATAGAGGCGGCTCAAAGCAGTAATAGGGCTGTGTATTGACAAGAATTTGGCGATACGATACAGTGGTTTGCAAAAGTATTCATACCCCTTGAACTTTTCCATATTTTGTCACATTACAACCACAAACATAAATATATTTCACTGG